CCTTCATCATTGGTGCTTTCGTTGAGAGTGATTGATTTGGTGTTCGTGAACTTTTTTCTATCCCATTCTTTTTCTTTTTGGGTCCGATTTTTTGAGTCTTTGTGTTCGAATTTTTTCGAATTTTATCCTTAATTTTCGAAAAAATTTCGTGAGTTTTTTTAAAAAAAAAAAAAGTGTCATCTAGTCTTTTGTTATTTTTTCCTCCCTTTGATTCAAATTTTTGTTCGAATTCTTCTTCTTCTTTTTTTGAATTTTTAGAGTCTTAAAAAAAAAAAAAAATAATTATGAAGAGAGTCATGTTGAGGTTCGAGCCGTTGGATGAGATGGATCTGGAAGATCTCGCATATCTCGAAGGTTTGGAGAGAAGTTTGACTCCATGGGAGCAAGAGTTTTTGGAGGAGCTTCACGAGCGAAAGGAGTTTGAGGAAAGGCAAAAAGCGAAGGCCAAAGAGAAGCTCCGAGAATCACGCGAGAAGACGTACAAATTGATCGAAGAGAAGTTTGAGGAGTCCATGTGTACGATCGATTCGTCGGGCTACGTTGAAGTGAAGGGCGCCGAGTATGTGGTCGCCGAGATCGAGATAACTAGGGTTGAAGTGGAGATCTTGGTCGTGGTGGAGGAGGTCCACGATGACGTAGCGCACAAGGAGGACGATGGCGAGAGTAAAGTCTTGGTCGAAGTTGGCGAGGACCGTGAGTGCGATACGCGCAAGGGTCTTGAGATTGGAGAAGATGTGCCCGATGCTTGGATGGTTGAGGATGAGTCCTTGAGGACAAGGACATTCTCGAAGGGGGCGGGAATGATGCGTAAGTGGGTTTTGACCCCCGACGACAAGAAGGGTCGAGAGCCAAGACAACCCGAGAAGGCTGAAAATAGGGCCAAAATGACGCACGCATGGCCTAAGAGACGGGTACGAGCTCGTATGCGAGGCGCACAAGTAAATAAGAAAGGGCGCATTCAAGAAGGGCGCGCACACGCGCATTGGCGTAGACGCGCATGGCGCTTGTTGGTTTTGCGATGTGGCGCGCAGGGGGTGGATGTTGGGTGGTTGATGCGCGCGAGGGGTTATTGTGATTGGTCGGGCATGGCCAAGAGGCGAATAGGCGAGAGGTGCGCATCGGATGGTGATGCGCGGGCGTTGGGCGTAAACGGGCGTACACGAGCACTGGACGTGCGCAGCGTGCGTGGAGGTGGCCGGGACGCGCTGGCGTTGGACAGCGGAGGCGCGGGGCGCGCTGGGAGCACGGGTGAAGGTCACGCGGGAGGATGCCGAGGCCGAGTAGGAATAAGCGTAGCAGGTACGGGCGCGCACGCGCGAGGAGAAGGGGACGAGCGCACAACGCAGGCCGAGGGTCGCGATTGGGGCGCGGACGCTGGCGGAGACCTAAGCCTC